GAAGCGGTGAAGCCAGACTACATCAAAGTCCTCGGCATCTAGTTCGGGGCTGCCGGGGCATGTCAAAAAAGTTGGGACGAGTGTCTAGGTATAGTGAGGAAGAAACTGGTGATGTGGTGCCAGCGCTCTCTGTCCATCTCCGGGAAAAATCTGGTAATGAAGTGTGAGGTCCTCTCGGTGTTACTGTACGTGGTCCAGGTCTGGCCTTAGACCATGAACAACCCCACTGCATCACCAGAAAGGTCTTCCAACTGATCTGGGCGTCCAAGATGGATCGTGTCCGCAGAGACACGATGCACAAAACCCCAGAAAAGAGGGGGAGAAAAAGGGGTCCCTAACATAGCCCTGATCCTCATGGCCACCTTTGCATGTAGCTGCCAGAGGCTGTGCCTGGAGGCCCGCTACGCTGGTAACAAATGCCACTATGTGCTGGGTTTCTACCTGTACCTGGTACTAAGGAGAGTGGGTCTGGCAGAACTTCCATGAAACATTCCACATGGTTGGAGCGTGCCGAACCACCTATCCTATATTGAGAAATTCCTGAAGAACACCATCCCAGATCCCTGCGCAATTATCGAGAGGTCTGCGTGGCAGGTAGTCGAAACAGTTAGAAAGGGGAAGAGGGCAGACCCAATCAGGAGGTACCCTATGGCAACAGCCAGCTACGTCCGATAAAACACCTCGTCACCGGCCCTGACCAACAACCATCAGGACATGGCCCGACTGGTGATAAAAGGGGCCCTCCCGTTCAGGGCCTTCATGCAGAGTCAAGGTTTGGGCCAGTCATCACGTTGCCCTCAGGCCGGCTGCAGAGGCCAGGAGACGGTGCACCACCTCTTCCTGGTGTGTTGTTTCGCAAAGGCGGCTTGGAAAAAGATGAAATGGATTCTTTCACTGTTCATCCCTGGGAATCCTCTGTCACGGCACTCGGTGCTGTACGGCCTGTTCCCGGGCACTCACAGCGAAACCCACATCGAGTGTGCCTGGGAGATCATAAACTCGGTAAAGGAGGTCCTCCCGAAACCAGGTGGTGTTCTGGCAGAACGGGGCACTGTGAGGGCCTGCCTCAGGCTCGTGCACGCTAGGATCAGGGATTATATACTGAGGGACAAGCTGAAGTTCGGCTCGACCACAGCAAAGGCAAGATGGGGCCTGGCAGAGGCTACTCCGATACAACCCGTTTGGGGCGCACCCACTGGGTAGCCCACGAGCGAACCCAAAACTGACTGATGTAAGGATACAGAAGGACGCTCGAGATGTAACCAAAGAGCATCCAAAAATGTACATACGGTAAACATGTGCGCGTACGGTGAGCATCGGGGCACCTTCCGAAAGCGGCAAATGTGCGGGCGCTTACATGGGTGTGGTGTACACACGTGTGACATCTGACTGTGTTAAATGGAGTGTCCCCAAAAAAAGTGTGCAGAACCTATATGTGGTGAAGGAATGTACCGTAAACAACGGAATGTGTTTTGTATTAGAAGAAAAGGTAAAAAATTGTATTAGAAGATGTTGTGTTTTGTTTCGGATTTCTGTTGTAATAAATATTGTATTTATAAATAAATATATTTTCAGGAAAAAAGCCCGAATTGTTGACTATGCAATGTTTGGTCGTAAGCACAGACATGTGAGCACCACATGAGCACTGACCTTACACTCGCAATTCCTTATCTGATCACCTCGCAAAATCCCGGAATTTACACGAACCGTCAGAATTTATGGTAAAAACAAGTTCGTTCAATTCAAGTTGTTTACTTCAGTTACTGAATGTTCTGGTTAGCTGTAAGGAGTTATTTCCAAGACAATCAACACCTTTACTCTGATACAACAGTGTTCAGCTATGTGTGATTGTGCAAAGAGTACAAACACTTAACCTTAACTTGACTGTGCTTCATTATCTATCTTTAAGATCCTCATATTCGTCTACAAATCCACTCATGCTCTGGCACCTCCCTACCTCTCCGATCTGCTTACTCCCCACTCCACCAACCACCGCTCATCCGGCACCAGCCTCCTGCTTGTCCCTTGTCCCCTCCACTCCATAATCAGGGGCCGTGCTTTCAAACACTACGTCCAAAAACTTTGGAACTCTTTCCCTCAAGCCCTCCACCTTGCCCCATCCTTCACCATTTTCAGATTACGCCTGAAGACTTTGCCATTTGAGCGTGCTTAGGGCAACCTCCCACTCACCCCAGCTCAATGTCAGAGCACTGTTAATGCTCCAAGATGCTACCCTATGTGAAGGGCACTATATAAAAATGCAAGTTGTTGTTGTATCTTAGCTAAGGTAGTGCTGTGGTGCTAAAGACAACCTCATTAACCCGTGATTCAGGGAGGAAAATAGGGAGTGGGCGTAAAAATCAGTCAAGTTTCCTACAGCTGGAAAGTACACATTTTGACATTAGTGAGTACACGATCAGGCTCAAATGTCACGTACTCCACAGTTAAACAAGAGTGCTCACATGCAAACCATCTGAACTCTCAAACCAAGAATGTCAACTTGGAAGAGATATGGGGTTCTATTGGCACCCACTAAAACCCTGAACCAAAAACGTTTCAGTGCCTTCAGGAGAGATAGGGCGAAAAGGGGAAAACATTTTTTAAAAAAGGCTTCAACCCTGACTGCGAGGCACAGAACACTTTTTTAAAATGCTGCTGAGGCTGAAATAACCCACAGTTCAACAGTAATGTACTCTACATGGTATTTAACACTGTGCCACGTTTAATCTGCTAATTTATTTTGGCTATTATCGCTGTCATTTGCAGTCACTGACAGGGGCACATTGTAACAAGGAGGCGAGGCTCGCTCAGCAGCATGGAGGAACGCAATAAAATACAGCAGTTATTTTACATTTTGAGCTCACAGTTTAGCTACCCTGGGAACCACTTTTGTTACCCCCTGCTGGGTAGGAGTACAAAGGTTGGGGCTTAGAAGTAGTTTCAAATAGAGTTTCTTACACCAGAAAATAAATGGTTCAATTCAGTATTTTAAGTAATTTTGTAATTCTGATTACAATGGTCCCATGGTTTTGAAGGGATTCAAAAAATGTTACAAGACCCATAGAAATACATCCTAATAAATAAAAACCTGTAACAATGAGTTTATGTAAAGGCTGTAGCACAAAATAATCTCTTGATACAATTCAGTTCAAACTACTTAAGGGCAAAAATGAACATTGAGGAGGGAAGAAAACATAGGGGCAAAAGGAGCATGAAAGTGTTGCAGGGGAAGCGGAGGGAAGAACAGACTAGGGAACAGGAGGGAAAAAAGAACTTAGGGTGGGGGAGGTAAGAGAAGGGAAGAATCTGAGGATTGGTTCATGCTCAGTTGCAACTGTCCAGAATCAGACCAATTAATAAAAAAAACTGTTCTATTTCAGCCAGGAGACCAAACATGCCTGACTGCCATAACACTGCACGTGCAAAAACCCTCAAGATGAAACCATTTTGGGTGTAGTTTTGGATGAGAAACAGCTTGAAAGCAAAAAAGTTAGTCATTGAAGACAACCTTTTCTTTCAGACCACCGCTTGACTGAGTAAAGATCTGAATGTTTCGATAAGAGGTCAGCAGCAAAACAAGATTCATAGTAAATCCCACAGTTTAATTCACTAACTGAAAGTGCCCATTAGTCCAGCTACCTTCAGTTCACAAATGTCACACTGTCGACCCAAAGTGAGGGCTTTTAAAATTTTATATATTGGTGATTACGGTACTGGATTGAAGAAGCAAGCCGTATTTAAATCAATAAAAATTCATTCAATATAGGTTTCAGGTGTTAGTGAGGAATTAATGATCATATATATATTATAATATATATATTATTGGAGAACTTGAAGAGGGGTAAAAATAGTCATTGCCCTTTGTTTCACCTGGTTATCCTTAATTTGTCCGAGTGACTTCCACTTGCAAAATTAAACTCACATCTTGACAAGGCAACTCCACCTCCAACATTTTGGAGTCATGGTTATCATAGAAGAGGTTTGAATGAAGAAAACCCTTTGGTCCATTTGATGTCAACCTGGCAGACTACTACCCTATTGTCTTCTCATTATAGCAACAAGCCATTTCTTAAATGAGTCCATCATTCTGGCCTCAATCATCCTTCTTGGTGATCTGTTCCAGTTGTTAATTTCCCCCTGGGCAAAGATACATTTCCTGCTTTCTGTCCTGAAATTCCCTTTTGCAATCCTGAACCTGTGTCCTCTTGTTCTGCTGCTAGTTCAGACCTGAAAGTATTGTTCTTGGTTTATATTCCTAATCACATTTACAATCTTATATGTTGTAAACTTCTGATAACTCGATCCTGGCTTAATTTAACACTTAAGTCATCATGCTGTCAACATTCCGCCACATTTACCTGTATTTATGTGGCCCTTTTCTCTTGGAGTGATAATAATAATAATAATAATAATAATAATAATAATAATAATAATCCTTGCATTTGATATAGCGCTTTTCACGTCGGGAGGACGTCCTAAAGCGCTTCACAGAACACACTGTAAAGTGAATTGACTGTATATTTGTGGGCGAACGCGGCAGCCAATTGCGCACAGCAATGTCCCACAAACAGTCGTAGATTGAAAATGACCAATTTATTATTGTTTTTGGTTTTGGAGGGATTATTATTAGGCTCTGTGTGGAGTAAGGAAACTTGCCCATGGTTTCGCCCTCTGCCTGGAATTGAACTCAGGTCTCTCGCTTGCAAAGCGAGTGCTCTAACCACTGAGCTACAGGACTCCACAGTGCCAGGATGCCATGCCATGAGCATATACAATCAAGGTATTTTTGTAAGAATAACAACTTGTGTATATATATATATATAGTGTCCTTCGTGTAGGTAACATCTGAAGGCTATACAGTGGCAGAGTTGGATACTGAAAAAGTTAGAAGAGGGAGATGGAAGTGACCACAAGTGCAGTCGAAGACCCATGCTGTCTCCTCTGATTCTACAGTTCCCCCAACTTGATGTCACCTGTAAATTGCATTGAGTTATACTTACGGTTGATATGGTCGATGTAGTACACTCCAACTTGGGGATCATAAACTATTTCCCAACCCAGTGGTAGTTCATCACCAACACAGTCAGCAAATGTCAATGGCTTGGTAATTCTGCAAAACAAAGGCATAAGAAAACCTGTGAAGTCATTGATAATTTAACCATCCGGTTAATTTAATAATAATAATAATCCTTGCATTTGGTATAGCACCTCATCACATCTTCGAGACGCCTCAAAGTACTTTACAGAATATACTGTAAAGTGATTTTTTTTAAGGGTTTATTACCCCCAGAAAATTGATCTGCCAATCAACTAACAACCAGGTTCCTACTTACTGTTAGGTAAACTGAGGTGTGTGGAGTAAAGAAACTTGTCTAATGTTTCGCCCTGCCCGGGAATTGAACCCAGGTCCTTTCGCTTGGTAGGTGCATGCTCTACCAATATGCTACATGACTCCAATTTAATACTTTGATACCATCATCTGAATGTAAAGTTACAACCAACACTTTCCAGATTGATACAGGATCTCAAAAAGACAAAAAATTCATTTTTTTTATTTATACCATTTTTGAATGATTTGGGATGGGTGATAGTTTAATACACTTAATTTGGGGGAATTGTCAGCAGCAGTCTTCAAACTGCTTAGCATTCATTGGTAAACTAAGTAACAGTGTGTCAAAACCCTGTCCTCTGTAAAAAGAAACAGTCAGACTCAAGTTGAACCACAGCAGGTACTTATATAGCTTCTTTGATGTACATTGAATGTGCCTTGAAGTGCTTCACAAAGACATGGGGGATCACCGTAACAAGCAGCAAAGGAGGAGGAATTTGAGTATTTTGACCAACCCAATGATAAGTTCAAAGAAATTAGTTTTAAAGAGGGTTTACAAGTCAGGAAGACAAAGTACAAGGCAAAGGGACTTTGGGAGAGAATTCCGGGGAGTTAGGGCATAGTGGTTGAAAGCTTAACTACTGATAATGGGATAGAGGAAGTGAGGAACAAGCAGCCTTCAATAACTGACCAGCTCTAATCGCATAACAACATGCCAGTCCACAACTGATTTACAAAATACTAGTCTCAGTATTATCAATGGAAGGGTATCATTTGGTCAAAAAGGTACTAATTTGTACTACCTATCAGCCTTTATCCCTACTCATAAGGCAATGTGACACTAGTTTTTTTTTGGTCAGATAGGAAAATCGGAAACTCATCATCATGCTTAAGAGTATCCAAACCAAAATGATTGCCATGCATCCATCCCACCTATACATGGAGATTTCAGAGATGTTTTGGAATGGAATGTACACTCTTCCTAACGGAAAGCAGCTTGCTTACCTAATTCTAGAAAAGTATTAGGAGCAGGTTGGCAAGAGACCAAGGTTTAGCGATATCAGAGTGTGTGTTGGGATACTGCTCATGGCTAACCAGCTAAAACCACAATCTTGCTATTGAGAGCACTGCCTGGGACACTTTCCCACTAATTGTCCAGCTAGGATCACCTTACCCATTAGGGATTTGGGTTACGGGCCTAATGGGAGCTGAGTGGGAAGAATCCCTGCCCCCAGCGACTGGTCTGCCTTTTCAAGTCCTCCTGATGATCCACGCTGGCTGTGCTGTGCGTGTGGGCGCAACTCCGACATTCCATTGCCAGACAAGTCACCTTGGAACCAGTTAAGCTGCAATAAGGAGACCCCGTTTATCCCCCCGACCCCCGCGGAAGATAGTTACCAGTTGGTCATTTGACATCCAGCAAGCGCAGGTTTGAGCCCTCACGAGGTGGACATTTAAGATCATCTCTGGATATGTGTCAGAGAATGAAACCACAAATGAAGTTGGTGGCTGTAAGGCACATGATTTTATTATATTCATACTTAATATGCTATTGGGCTTGATCTTCTTAAACATACAATGATTTGACATTAAAGCTTCCGTTATGACTGGGTGAAACTGGCATAGCATGTCTTCATCAGTCATGTTGTTCTCACCACCACCACCCCCACCTTCCTCCTGGGCACTATCGTTTCAAAAGGAAATTGTCTCCAGCTGTAGAAGCAACATCCTCACTATTTGGAGAAGGTTTTGGCCTTCTTTAATCTGTACTTTCCTTAATGCCAGGAGTCCTACTGTCTCACATCTTCCCGACACCTCAGAACACATGCATAGCAGCAAAGGCAGCATGGAGCTTCCCAGAACTTCTTAGGGCCAACCTGGCCAAGGAAGGCCTCAGTACAAGCAGGAGTAAGTAAAGGACTGTACTTCAATAACTGGGAATAAGGACAGTCCTTCAATAACTGGGTGTGCTTACACAATTGCCTCTCTCTCACTGCCGCTTTCTTCTTGATACTGGTTACACCCTATGTTCAGATGTTTTGCTGCCAAATTCAGAACTCGGGCTGGCACTTACAATCTTATCGCGAGCCTCTCGGATATATCCTGTGAGTTATAACACAGAAGTAGGTCTGCTTGAAAAATACAACCACAAGTTAATGTGCAATACAACTGTGAGAGTTATGATAATCTTTCTATGTGTGGAAGCTTTAAGACTATGGAGAATGTTCACATGCTAAGGTACATTGTGGCCTTTTCTCTCCCTATCAAAATATTTGTTTGCATTTCAACCTGTCATTTTCAACAAACCATCTCCCCGATTGAATGAAAAAATAGTTCAAGACCCTAAGCAGAGGGAGGCCTGTTTACAGCAAATGTCAGGCACATTCCATTCTGCAAGGAGCAATGTAATTACTTCCTTCACCTCTGCTATTGAAACTTAAACATTCCTGCAGCGTTGGAATGTGGTCTTTGCTGAAAGTGCAGCAGCTTGCCTCGAGCAACAGCAAGGACCATTAGCTCAGTTCAAGCATACATTTATGATAATAGCTGAATGCAGAAGTATACAGTACTTATTTTATTAAAGCTTGTGTAGTCAACACTTGGGTGTCATGTTTTTAAACAAATGAAAATCCCTCTATGTTGCCTTCCTGCTTCAATGCTGATTTCCATATACATCAGGGCACAATAACCTTTATTGTGGCTATTATCACCAATTCCCCATACAAGCCAGTATGGGGAATGCTTAAGACAGAACACTCCACTGTCACAAACCGCTTCACCAAGTAGTGCAGCAAACAATGGGATCAAATAACGACAACTTAGATTTACATAGTGCCGTTCACTTTGGGAGGACTTCTCAAAGTGCTTCACCCAGCTGACTGGGAGTCTGAGGATAGATTGAACTAAGGATAGACTGAACTGAAATGACAGGAAAAGATTTTGAAAAAGGTGGCCACAGTTTTTCCACTCCACGTCTTGAACATTTTTCCATAAGAAACTTATACATTTCTGAAGAGTTCTGTGCTGAGCTCCCGAAGGAGCTTTCACACAGTATTCTACTCAGGAATGGTCACAATTAAGTATTCAAAGCACTCGAGTGATACAATTAGAAATAATCTACAGTTCGGTTTGAAATGTGGTCTCTGTAGCATTGCAAAATGATTGCATCCTCCATATAAAGTCCTATAGCTCCATAGAGTCCTGTAGCTCAGTGGTTAGAGCACTTGCCTTGCAAGCGAGAGACCTGGGTTCGATTCCTGGCAGAGAGAAATGTTGGGCGAGTTTCCTGACCCCACATGCTTCTGTTTACCTAGCAGTAAGTAGGAACCCAATTGTTAGTCGATTGGCAGATCGCTTTTCCGTGGATAATAATCCCTCAAAAAAACAATAATCATTTGGTCACTCAATCCACAACTGTTTGTGGGACACTGCTGTGTGCAATAGCCTGCTGCATTTCACCAACAAATATACAGTTAGTTCGCTCTACATATATTCTGTGAAGCGCTTGGAGATGCCTAGAAGATGTGAAAGCGATATAACAAATGCAAGGATTATTATTATTATTAACTCCTGCTACTGAGGAAGAACAAATAGCTGGAATGTCGGGTGTCATTCTTCAATTGAGTGTTCTTCAAGAATTATGATCAGATCCCCATTGAACACAATGTGTGAGAATATTAGTAAACAGCTATTTTATCTTTCAAAGATCAACCACACTTGCCAGTAAAAGCAAACAACAAAGTGGACTTGGTCTTATGTCCATTAACATTTTTTTCGCTGCCGTAATTTAACCTACAGTAATGTTATGCTTATGGTTAATGATTTGCATTTCTAATCAGTGCAAGTCAGGCTTTGACACTTAGAGGTACGTGTTAAAACTCACAGATAGGAATATTGCACCATCATAAAGCAATGTGTTGATTTTAATACGACAGCATTTGCAGCTCTAAATTTCAATGGATCATTTAATACTGCACCACTGAATATTTTTAAAGCATGGTAGACTATCGGAATGGAAGCTAAAGTATCCTACCTCACACCACACTATTATTAAGCTTTGATGGCTAGCCAGTAGCAGGCTTGCCATCAAAGTTGGAAGATTTGAGTTTCACTGTTTGCTTCAGTGCCAATACATGTACAAAGCACAATTCAGTGTCCCATTGGTTAAATTAAAAAACACTCTGCAACGTACATGTTCACCCACTGGCAAGCATCAATGATCAAACTTAATTACGTGTCTGGTCCAGTTCAGTGAAAGCTGAGGAAGCTTGTGTGCTACAGAGGAAATGGTTTTACACATCCTGTGGCTGAGGGCAGGCAATGACCTGCTTCCGAGCTTCCACAAAGGCCAAGCGTGAACTGTCCCAGACCCCTCCCTCCAATGTTCCTTTCTTATGTAGGAGGCACCCAACCTCTACTCACTCATCAACTTCCTACCGGACAGTGGCCAAGATTAGTAAGTTACCAGCATGAGGAAATTGCTCTTTGTCCCTTTCATTATGTAGCACAGTGCATCATTGCCCCTACACTGGGGATTTTAATATGCAACTCTTTTCCACTTACACCACACAATAAAATGTGCTCCATAAGTGGAGAAAGATCAAGATCAGAGTTACTGTCTAGGTGATAGTTACAACATTGAATGTGCCAGAGGCAGCTTCCGCCTCCATCGTCAGATGATTAGCACGATACCAGCATTTTATAACGATAATAATCCTTGCATTTGATATAATAATAATAATAATCCTTGCATTTGATATAGCGCCTTATCACGTCTTCAA